TTTCCGTGGTATTCTCGACACCATTGGACTCCTCGAATCCAGAGAATCTGACACATTCCCGGCGGCTGTATTGCTCGAGATCATCTAATTTATATTTAAGATCGTCATTTTCAGATTTGAGTGCATTTATTTCAGCTTTAAGAGGCACGATTTCATTATTCACGATAGCCTGTATATCAGGTATTATCATATTTCGGACGCTGAGGGCAATGCGCTGAATGTCAAGGTCAGACAGACTGCATGAGGGAGACTGAGTGCCGGGGGTTGAAGTCATATGAGGTTGGGCAAGACCTTGAGAGAGGGGCAACATTGGCGATCCTTGGAAGCTGAGTTGCTGAGGAATATAGTTCATAGCCATGATTGGATTATGGTGTTTACAGTCCGTAGATAGATAGCTTCCGTTCAGTATAGTGTCACAATGAGATAAAGAATTATCGAGCTTATTTTTTTGGGTGATCTCGACTTTAACGACGACGTGGATTGGTGTGAGCGTTCTCTTTTAGCAGTGTTAATTATAATGCTCATATTACATAGATAGTACACAAATAGTTACGTACACATTCACTAGATTGCACAGTACGCGCACTTGGTGAACCAGAGCACAGGTGAGTTGTTTATCGATCTATTAATAGGCTTCCGAAATCGAACGTACAGGTATTGTGGACATAACTGAAAGTCAATGAACTGTGACCTGAGAGCCGGTATACAAAATCTTGTAGTGACTTATATTATTAAATACAGACATTTTTACCAACTTTCCTTCGTCAGGGAGCTCCCTCTGTGACTCATAGTTCCCCAGACACTGAAACGACTCTCCATGGTGCAGAAATGTTGGAGAATTTTACATTTTCATCGGAGCTCTGTTGAGAGTGACCACTCTGCTTACTGGTCACGTGATTTTTGTTTGTGAAAATATTTGTTTATGAATCCGAACAGAATGGGGAAATTATATCTTAAAAGTTAGTCCAGGTCCAATGCCAGACATTTCGTAAGTTTTGATTATTTTACCATTTTCATGTGAAATATTGACATTGTCGGTAAATGTGAGTTTAAAACAACATGACTAAATGACATGGTATGTTTTATGATGACGTAAAAGTTACATATCGTTTTGGGACATCGATGTCGTTGCTTAATATTAGGACAATCACTCTTCCCTTTTTTCTGGTATTATTTGTACTTACGACTATACTGAATAACATCCTGAACCATTAACTATGGTAAGGGGGGCACGATCGATCATTTATCTTTCGAATTAGAAATAAGCTCTCATAATACTCACATGATTTGATACAGGAAAGTTAATGTTTTTTTCTAGTTTTTAATTTAATTCTTCAGTAATTTCATTCGGATATTCAATTTGGAGAACTTTAACAATTAAAACCTGCATTGGCATCTCTTCCTACTTGACTTTACTAAGCTGCAACCATTACGCATAACACGAAGTACAATATGAATGAACATTTTGTACTTCAACTCTCAATCCAGAATCTAATCTGCACAATTGTCCGTACGATTAAAATTAGAAGCACGTTCATTGACATGACTTTTAAATAGTTACTCGGCAAACTGTTCTGTTGATTTTTTAAAAACGTAATTTATTCATTAAAATGAAAACAAAAACAAAAAACATTTACATATATACGTTTATCGAGTTGTCTTTGCATTTCATTTTCAGCTTATCCTGAACAATATATTTATCTTGTACTTATTATACCGTACAAGATAATCATGCACGCACGATTTACTTTTTATTATTTGGTAATTTGCACGCACAAACACAAGATAGCGGCACTATGATACACAACATCAGCTAAGTAAAAGATAAATTTACACAGAAACGCATGAAAAAAGTACAAGAAGAAAAAGACCAGGTGTTCCAGAAAGGAAAGGTCTTTGGTCAATTCAAGTACTTTATGTCAGGTTGTCAAATGAGAAGTATTTTTACAACAGTAGAATAAAGAAATTTAGAATGTTTTTCAATGAAATCACTATGACTTCTTATGCAACCATGTATTAGAAAAAACTGTGACAAGCATTGCTAATAATAGAAAAAAAATCAGATACAATTAAGACAAAATTTTAGTATGAAAAATAATGGTTCTCCTGGTTGAGATCTATCTACCTATGAAGTTTGTGTCGATACCTCTTATAGCTTTTGTGTTATGCTCCAAACAAAATTATGATTGACAGACAGACGGATGAAGTGGCGACTATATGCTATCCCTTAGGAATCGAATTATACCATATGGCCGATTCATCCTTCTAGGACTCGGTGATATTTACGGCTTAAATGTTGAAACTTATGAGACGACATGAGAAAATCAATAGAGATAAAAACAATCAAAATTTAAATGTGGAGGTGCACTACTAGCCCTATGATTGAGTAAATTTCCTGATCTGATTACTTTTAGAAGAACAAGTAGATGTGTTCATTCTAAACCATGCCACCATTCGAATGAATTGAACCTTGGCATACAGGTTACGGCAAACCTTGGGAACTAAAATTTCAACAGCAGTATCTATTAACTGTTTCCTCAATGATTGTACAAAAGTAAATGTCACACTTTAAAACAAATTCTTAAGCTGTATCATACAAGTGTCTGTTTTTAATAAATTGTATTTCGCTATGACCGTGTCAGGTTCCTTGAAAGTAACCAGGCCAAATATCGAAAAGAAGTGACTGTACTATATGTTTTGAGAATCATTTAATCCCAAAAAATTACCCTTGTCAATTCAGTCTGTAAAGATATCTAAATAATTGAACATATTTTTCTGATTATGCTAAATATCTAATGATAAAAGTGTCCCTCTGGTGGTTTCATAAAGATGCCTTTCAGTAAAATATCGATCATCAATATCATCTATTCCATATACTACAGATTTTACAGATTTTATTGGTACTCTCAGACATACAAAGTATGTTACAAGAGGTCAGGTTTCAACAAAAACATTCATGGCATGGCGGTACACAGTTACATACATAATGATATTTTAGCTACGTAGATTCAATAGATTATCAAGCTTTTCTAGAAATTTACTGAGATTTGATAAAACTTTAACATTACATACAGAAAAAAGTCCATGCATTTTTGTAATACTAGGATAAGTAGAATAGTAATGTGGAATAAATTGATCTCTTATTCTCTTCACTGATTCATGATCGCATCTAAAAAGATAGTGGTATTCATCGCCAATTTCATTTGAGCAAAGATTACAAACTCTGTTCTCCTTCGGTATTCCGATCCATCTTCCTGTTTCTATAGGTAAACGCATATTTGAAGTTCTAAATTTAACGATAATTTGTCTTTCTCTAGGTTTAAGTCTCAAAAGATATTTTTCTAATTCAAAATTACTTTTCATTATACAATAGGTATTTCCTCGAGAGGAATTAATTACATCACTGAACCATTTTTGTATGAACTGGTCTTGTAGTCTTTGCTTAATGACAAGTTTTAAATAATTTCTATTAAATGAACATATTTTCTGGAAGTCCCAGATAAAGTTTAAACCAGTTTCTATAAAAATATTTTGAACATTTTTCAACCACTTGAAATCCATATTGCCATTAATATGTAGATTGTACATTAAGTTATACATGATACTTGACAAGTTATTACAGGTAATTAATTTATACCAAAACATAATAACTCTACTTTTAGCTTCAATAAGTAAAGGGAATCTCCCCAATTCACCATAAATCATAAAATTTGGTGTACTTCTTCTAATACCTAAAATACGTTTGCAGAATTGTAAATGAAGTTTCTCAATGACACTTAAATTTTCAAACTTCTACTGAATACAAAAGTATAGGCAACACAAGTGAGTCAAAAATCTTCAACTGAAGGTCTACTGGAAGCTGAATATTTCTTATTTTCTTATAAACAGCAAACATTGCTTTTTTAGACTGTTCCATTAATTTACATTTAGCTTTAAAGTAACTTCCGTTGTAATTAATTAAAACACCCAAATAAGGAAATTCATCAAGAATTTCAATTTCTTCATTACACAATGTAAAGTGGAAGGCTGTACGACCTTTCCTCTTTGCAAATATAACAATTTTGGTTTTGTTATTATTAACATTAAGCTTCCAGGTATTACAATATACTTCAAAAGTATTAAGAGCAGATTGAAGTCCTTCCGCTGTTTCAGACATAATAATAGTGTCGTCTGCATACAGAAGAATATACAATTTTAAATACATTTCAATGTTTTCACCCAAAGTTTCTATTGTTTGAAGACAATTAACATTATTTTCTGCAAGAAAATCTTCCAGATCATTAAGATAAATTGAGAATAAAAATGGTGATAAATTTTCCCCTTGTTTTACCCCGATATCACAATTGAACATTTCAGACAATTCATTTCCATTTTTGACACAAGATTTGGTATACTGAAATATTGTTTTAAATTTACATCGGCATTTACTTACTTATGTCGAAAATTAACCTGTTATGTGGTACCACTTACTGTATTGATATCCTATCTCACGTAAAACTGAATGGGTGACCTGGAACTGTAAACCATTCGGAGTTATTAGTCCCCACAATAAACCGGGGAGAGAACAGTTCAGAATACTGAATATAAGGGTTCTGATATTATTTATATTGTGTAAATCACGTCTACTTTACTCTGTTGATGAAATACCATAGTATCTGAGTTTTGCAGTGTAACCTTTGGGTCCCTTACTGCCAATTCAGTGTTAAGTTAGTTAGTTTTATGCTGTAAGTTTGACAGAACAAAACGAATCGGTAAGCGTAACTACGCCCAGAAATGCCACAAACTGAAGTATTCACCGTGTTTGTTTCGATTTCAATTGAATCTTTACATAAAACACATTTGTCTCTCTGACATAACAGAATCGCGAATAAGTGCTAAATGAAAAGAAAATCATCGCAATTTATTTCAGAAAATAAATGCCGGTTATGAAGTACAATACATAAAATAAAATACAGTATATAAATATTACGTAAGTAAATGAGTGCTAGACTGGACCATTATTACTGCTCCACATCTTGTCGTTTGTTTTGTTTCCTGTCTATGTATTCCACAGTGTAGTACGATATTGCACTACACACCAAAAAGCTCAGAAGGATATATAGCTTGACGTCGGTAGACAAAAATACACTGTAGGCCGTCGAAGTAATGAATCCAGCGGCTTCCAGCATGAAATAGCTTCCGTAAGCTGCCTCTATATTGTCAGCAAATAAGTGGCCATAGATTGCTGAAATATAGAGTATGATGTTATAATCTGCCTTTCATCTTAACGTATATGTACTGGAGGTAATAAGCTATATCTGTAGGAAATCAACGTTAAATTCAATTTTAAATAGTTGCTTTGCTTGAGACAATAACTCTTTATTTTTAGCAATATTGAGGTGTATCACTTACTCATAACTTGTATTTTCAATATGGCGTCCGCCACTCCCCAAATACTACCAAATATGAAAAAGGGGTATCCGTTTTCCGGTCCAGGTTTCCATATAAGTAAAGAAACTTGTACTCCGCCAAAGCAAAGAAATGCTGCAAAATGAATACAATACATATTATACAACAAGTTAAACTTATCTCTGGTAATTTTCAACTACATATTAAAGGTAATGGGTGGATGTTGACTACCCCGAAATACATTTTGTAAACGTATAATCCTTAAAATGAATGTTTATGGTCTTTATACGCTTTAAAAATAAACATAATAGAAGCCGAAGTTAGTTACAAAAAATATACATGATTATATTATGAATTGCTGATATAACACCTTACGTTAGAAACTGAGAATATCCAGCTTGTTTTGAAGTTATAATCTTTTTGTTATATAGATTACTGTATTAATGATATACCGCCGAGTCTCAGTAATAAAGTAACTTGGAGTTATATCTATCCTACCTACAATTAATACAATTCTTTACGTATACAATAGTTGCAATGCTTATACATGTACTTTTATTTCTATTTCAGTCAGGCTTTGTCTTTGTAAGCACATAGTTAACTTTGCAAAAGATATCCACTCTTTATCTCCCGTCTCATATATACTCTATTTGTATGTATAGATTGTTTGAAATCATTTTTGTAGCTGCGAAATAGCAAAATCATTTCACGGTGAAAACAGTATTAACATTGCATCGGAATCAATCACAGTCGTTGATATCGTTCTGAACAAATAGTCCTACCTTACAATACTTCTCATGTTAATGATAAACAGAAACTTCATTTACTGCAATCATGGTTGTTCAGAGTAAACTTATAAGTATGTGCGATGCCCAATTGTTTATCAAATGTAAAGTTAAAAAAATAGGACATACTGATACAGTAAAAATTACCGACCGATACACAAATATATCTGCCGTTTCCGTACTTAAATGAGGTCGATAAAGATACTTAATGTACTTCTTGTTGAGGGAAAAAAGCTGCGAACGCATGGAAAATCCTTGTATATCAATTATCATTACCAACCTGTTTTCCTTTTTTATGTTTAGTTTTCTCTATAGATCTAACAAATGTTTTACGTACCGATTGTAAAGAACGGCAAATGTCCGAAGTGTTTTGTTAGAGGTCCAACCAGTACTGCAGAAACGGTATTTAATATTCCACTACAAAGCATGACGTCACCGACTGTTTGTATTCCAAGTGTACAGCCCACAATTGACTGCAAACAAAGCGGAAATAGAAACAAACAAAAACATTATTTGTGCAAAGACAATGACAGAATCAAAAGAGCAGTATTAAATGTCATCATGAATAAACTTAATTTCAAGTCCAAACAGGGTTATTAGCTCAAATGCCATGTGATCACGAATGTCTGTAAGCGCTATTTCTCTTTAATCAGGGATATCAGAAGAATACAGATACACGACTCATTTCGTTCTTTCGCATTAATTTTAGCAATTGTATGAAATTTATCAGAATTTTGATTTCAGTATATCCAGAAAAATAACATATGCTTATAACATTGGTGCATGCAGACTGTCCATTTGACTATAAATGTCCTCATATGCCTTTATTTACATGTATCAATTAGATATTAATAAAAACAATGTTTTACATGAAAGAAACATATCACAAAGCAAAAAGCTGATAAGACTTAAAAGGAAATGCAAGGACTGCATTATATCGCAGTTAACGATGAAGACCCGACGCTCTGAAAGTACAAACTGTTTTCGTTAAATTTTGGAAGAATAAAACACACAACAAATCAACCTAAGAAACACAGACAAAATTACAAGTAGGCGAAGAGAAGATATCAACACATTAGATAGAGCAGAGCGAAATAACTAATTACACTGAGCCAAACAGCTGTTTCGTTATTGTAAGATAAAATAAATCAATAAATAATATGAACAAAAGCACTATGATGAACTTTATTGGTTTCTTATCTTTTTTTTAAATCTTACCTTCGTAAAATCTGCAATAAGAAATCCATTTGAAATGCCGTAATACATCGAAAGTGGAATGAGGATTTTTTGTAATCTCGAGTTCCAGAAATGTTTGGTTGAAGCCAAGAATTTACTGTATATTGCTTCCCTTTTCCCATCCTTATACTCATCTCCATAAATAGTAACAGGTGACAGGAAAGCGCTAACAACAATTCCTAAAGAGGCTATTCCAATCCATGTACCACAAATGGTATAAATCTGAGGATAGACAGAATGTTAACCCACCATGATAGGTTTTTAAACATGGAATTAACATGGCATTCCAAAAGTTAAGGCTCAACATTCACCTAAATAAAGAAATGCTTCTAAGCTGCCGTTGATGAATTAAGAACTTAGTAAAATGTTGAACAAATACAAATTATATAAGACACACGTAGTTCTGAGTATGTAAAGTTATTATCTTTGTCACCACATAGAATTCAAAGATACTGTTAATCATGCACTGCACTGAAGATAAACTTTCTTTGGTAAATGTTATGATTCATAATCATAATTGAATATCAATGTAGTGACTAAACTGCATTTCCGTAGTTTATATATTAAGACACCTGCAAACGGGTATCATCCGAATTAGACGAAAAAAGTTAATTATACAATTGTAATTTTGAGACAAGACTGTGATTAAAGCATTAATAGTTTTCGTTCTTACCGTCATGTCATCTGGTCGTTCCAGACTGGTAGCATTGCTGACAGCTTCTTGTTTATTTGCTACACAATCCTCAATTTCCTCCAACGTCATGGATGTGTTGGCCTGTGTGTTTTGTTTCAGTAGAAGTGAGGATAACAAATTTCCTGTTATCTTACCTATTTTGAATATAATTGGTTATAAAAAGATAAATGTACTGAAAAAATATGTTATTGTCGACGGATACTCTTTGTTATCATTTACGAAGTTAGAATAAAATCATGAAAAAACATAGATTAATAGAGATGTGCCTCAAAACATAAAATTGATATAGAAAAGGAAAATCAATTCCATTGCTTTTGTAACATATCAATCCTTTTTGATTCAAGTTTTTAGTAAAACGAAATATTATAAAAGGGAACATGTAAACCATTTGAAAGATTGTACAGAGGAAACACATTTTAATTCAAATTTATATTAAGATACAGTCGAGGCAAGATAAATTTAACTGCATCTGCATGTGAGAATTTGAAATACCTCTAGAATTTGTCAATGATGCTTAGGGTCTTAATGTGTACCCAGACTAAAAATGTATATAATATCATTTCTTATGATCCAAAATCAATAAGGTTGAAAACTGCAACCAAATACGTTTCGGTTATGACGTCACAAGTCCAACGTTCAATGACTGGTGGTAGCTGTCATGTAGCACCTTTGATATAAATTACAGTAGTAAGAACGAAATGTTTCACATGAATAGATAAAAAGCTCGGATATCAAACACACAATGGAAGTTATGATGTTTCGACAGCTTTGAACCTGTGAAGTCACAGATGTGGGCTACCATATCGAGGCGATCGCCGTTAAGCATTTCATATTAATCGCAATATCTTGGAAACGGATCTAATTACGATCTTTGCACTTTCTTGGTCTATTATTTGATATGTTAAATATAGTAAAACATTCAGGGTACCCTTTAATTCTGAAACCTAAAAGGCGACCGAGGGAAATTCTTAGATATCAACATCTAGATGGGGAGGTGTACTATCCTCATGAATTTTGTGATGTCATATATTTTTCAATTTTTGATGAACGTCAATTACTGTTGTATATTCTTAGTGCCAATATTCGAATGACTTAGGAGATGACATGCAGATTACGTCCAATTTCGAGAACTTTAATCAACTGCAGAGTCTACCACCTGCAAACAACGTTTACCATTGCACATGTTCTTTCCACAAGTAAATAAACGAATATGGTTCCATTGACTGCTTATGATTACACAGTGACAACTTTTTTCGAATCAATATCTTCCTCGAAAATAGCGTAAAACAGAACTTGGAAAAACGGCATTTACTAATGATTATTTGCATCAAAATGCATAAGGCATAAATTAATCATTGTTTTTCAATTAATGAAAATTACTTGTAGCTGACGCTGTGGCAAGTACATGTAAACCCTTTTTATATACAAGCGTCACTCCAGTTTGAACTTAAAAGACGAAAAATAATATTTCCTTCATATCTAAATGCACGTCCTCGATACTGCATGAGTTACAAATCACTTTCTCTCTGCACCTGTGGAACATGTCCTGACAAAATGTAAGGTTCCGTGTGCGACACCTTATTGACAAGACTAGTGTGATCCTCTGTTGTACAGCAAACGAATTTTGATGTCGCTTAACGGTACGTTGTACTGGATTTGAAGTTGGATGTCGCTTCTTTATAATCTTCAAAAGGAACATATTTGGCTGTGAATGACTAGTTATTTTCTCCTGGAACCAATTGAATTACCAGGCTAGTGCCTGCATTTTTCCATGGGTGCAGAGAGCGATAATGATCGTAACCCCTGGAGTATCGAGGAAGATATATTAGTGAAAAACCTTAGTCAAAGTTTCCGAACCCGGACCTTAGTTTTCCTACAAATATTTTTACACGAAACCTTGATGATTTTCACATTTCACCAATTGCACCTTCAATCATTGATCCTATATGTGTATAATTCACAATTGAGATATATTCATAGGTTAATTACGAAGAAAAGTTATTTGTCGTCGATTTCACTTACTTCCATTCAAAGACATGAAGAATATCCCAAAGAAAAAACTGAGAGAATCCTTCAGTTTTGTTTGGGTTATATTGGCGTAGTGTTTGGAAAGTTCTGAAACATATGCCGATTGAGATGCCCACATTGGTCCCGCACCAAGTCCACATACGATAGAAGCTGGAACCATAATAGCCCACACCGGATATAGATTGGCCGCCATTAAAGATAAAGTCGTAAACGTAGAGAGAAACAAAGTCAGTTTCACGCCGAATCGGTCGATGGAAAAAGATGCCAAAAACATAGCCGAAATCATGAAGAAAGAACATTCTATGAATATTGCAAATGTGCCCATTCCCTCTTCTTTACTTAGGGAAGTCAGTAAACTCAACATCGAGTGAAAGGAGGTAAACATCAGGAAAAAAGATGTACATATCATAGAAAGATTTTTCATGATTTGATTTTTCGTCATGGACGACACTGTTAAACTATTGCTAGTGACCTCTATATCTGGGTTCCTTTCCGAATTTGGGTTATGTTTGGCTTTATCAGCAACAACGGTATTGGTTAACAAAGTGACAGCATCTTGATCGTCATTGCATCCGCCGTGTGATAATTTTTGAAGTTCCTTTGTGTGATTGTCCATTGTCACGTGTACTTCCTCCCTGAATCCAAGGAACTCGTCAAGTGAACCACTATTGGTTGCCCTTTCTGGACTCTCAGTGGACATAGTGTTGAACGAGCTGGGTGAATAAGACTATGAGCGTATATTCATTCAACAAAAATCAGTTAAAGGAAATTCGTTACGTTATTTGCCGATCGTCACTCTGTAAAACCAAAACCATACTGTTATTTATCATCGATACTCAACATTGATAATTTTTGAAAAGTAATTTTGGTGAAAAAGAAATATTATATTGTATTGACTTATGAAGCTAATAAGTACAATATTGTCCTGACACATATAAACATGGACATGCCGTTCATCTCTTTCCCCTCAATAAGAATATGAAAGCAAGTAAGAACTATCAAAACAACTTCTCTAGGTGTCAAGTTTGACCTTTGACTATATAACCATGACCACTGACCAAAACTTACAGAGATTAACCAGATAGAGATAGTGATGATTAAATGTAGCAGATGTAATATGCAGTTTATACAGGAGCACATTTCAAATATAAATATAAGACATTTGACATTTTAATCTAGACCGACGACGACACCAACCTCTAATCAGGTGGATAACTTGTAAAAGAAACAATATTATGAAATTATCATTTAAGATGCAATTGAAAATATATTGAAGCGTTCAGCAAGTATATACACAATCTACTGTATTTCAATCTAAATTCATATTCTAAGGTGCTATTAACTTGTGTGTATTTTGAACAATTATACAGACGAACTCTATTGAATTAAGGCGTATCATAAACGCTTTGATATTGTACAATAATGAATTAATCTAAGAAGCTCACATACAACAAAGAAATGGAGTGAAAATACAGTTGACATCTGCATGATATATTGAAGACGTTGCTCTAACGTTTTGACAGCCTATAAAAAGTTTTAACAATCTCTATCGTCGTGCACTCATTACATACATATATCTCTGAATTAAAAAATGATTTCCATTGATGAATATCTTTCCATTTTACGACATACTTACTGAAGGCTTATTACAAAATCATGACTATAATAACTGCTGTTACATTGAACTTTCCTTGCAGTTATCAGCTGTAGAACATCTACTTACAAATCCACATATATCACTGTGGAAGGATTTAAGCATGGGTAACTATTAATAAAACCAAACCCACTGTTTTGTTAGTAGGCAAGAAGTTGAAATAGCGAAAAACACTCATTGAGACGTGTAAAATCATAATATTTTTCTTGTTTAAAGGTGAATATCAAATACAAAATGTACATCTAGTACATTTTAGAGAAAACAAAACTAACTTGTGCACAAACTTAATGATTTCAACGGTTTGCAAATTGCAAGATCTAGCATTTATAAGAAAAAAAAACTGTTCTTCAAATTAAACCAGACAAAAGGAAAAATATAAATAGCACACAAAATGTCTAGACATCCGATAAAAAATATGGGGCGATAAGAGAATCGCGGCGAGGTTAAAATATAACGCGACCTCCAACCTTTGGCCTCAAGCATTTTTACTACGTGACGCTATTAATGGCCTCCTGATACCCTGCTACTGTGCCTCACCATAAATGTAATTAAATCAATTTTATGACATGCGGTTTTTAAACCAGTCCAACTGCAAAAATAATACTGCTATAAACAGGAGGATATATGACTATTTTTCGACTAATGAAGTAAGACGTAAACAATCACTTGGCCAACTGAATTTGGGAATGACAATATGCTCGAACAGGTTTTGCAGCCAATCCTCATCGGATATATGATCAATGACTTTAAAAACCATGTTAAAAGGATATACCTTAAAGTGAAAATTTATATTGATAAAATCTTTATGTTGTAGAATGCTATGACCACAGCTATCCATTAATATTAGTGATAATTCTTACATGTCACAGTTTTATACCACCAGAAAGTTGCATTTTACTGAAACAGCTGACTTTGTTGTACAAACGTCACACATTTAAGAGTTTAATGCAATAGAGGTAAGTATTGAATAAAACTACATCATACAGCTAATAAATGAATAAAGTGCGACTTGGTGTTCACAAGTGATGCTTTGTTTCTATATCTTGAATCCCTCCTAGTAAACATTGATCAAAATTTGTGCACTAGCTCCATAATATGAAAAACCCATATTTCTAGCGTATGTATTAATTTCATCAGAACATTAAGTAAAGCCACAGAACAATGGTGCCAATGTAAGACCCTTTATGTTAATATCAAATGATAAAATAATAGCAAATCAAAACTGATACCTGTGTAGATTCGCCTATGTCCCTGTTAACTTGCACAAGACACGCATGACAAAATGACGGTACCTGCATATCATCTATGAATTTGTTTTAATTCGTACGTAACAAACAGAAGAAACACTTATGGTTACAGTATACATCCACCTATGTCGAGTTAATATGCACCTGAAAAAACACATGAGAAAACAATGGTACCTGTGTATGGTCAATAATGTCATTGTGTTAACATGCACCTAACAAATCCGTGAAAACAGCAATGTTACCTGTGTAGATACACCTGTGTCATTATACAATATATTGTTCGAGCCGGCCAGAGACTGCATGCCGTATAGCGCCATGCATGAAGTTGTTAAATTTGCGAGCTTACTACTTAAAACAAGCTCATATATGCCCTTTATTTAATTATTTGAATGTGACACGTTCAAAACATCTTTGCCAAACCTGAAATTAACACCAAAAAAAAATAAGCAGGTTTACTTACGTCGATATCCCGTAGTTCTCTACAAACCTGTCACGCTGTATGTATCTGGGGGAGGGGAAGTTGATGATTCCTCAATACAAAGAACATTAAATGCTAAGTGCAGGTCAGCTCACATGTGAATCAATGTCGTCAGGTATAGTTATGTATAGGATGAGGAAAAATATTTAAAAAGGTAGTCGATAATAAGGTTTATAAGTCTTGTACTTACATGTGATTTAAGAGTAGGGTGAAGACCTTCTTCACTCTGTCGACTGTAAAAAAACTGCTCTCGTCATGAGAATAATCTACGTGTCAATAACCTGCACACCAATAAAGCTACCTCCCTTGACAACGATGTACCGACGGTGCACAACAATCTATAACGATAGCACAGACAGAGTATCATCCAATGTCATCTAATCTGATAGGACAAGTGATAAATTACTTGTATATGCATTTTCGCATTTGAAAAAAAAAGCTATGTACTTCAATGTGACATGCCCTTGAACTCCTGATACGATATTATCGCTGCACTACGTACACAATATACACCAAATCTCTGGTTCAAATGGTCTCCATCTGGAAGAATTCACTGGGCCATTTCAAGTCCCCTATGCTTTTTGTAATGCTTATTGACTGGATTGTTAAACCTTGCTTTAAACTGTTGATTTCCAGTGTGTATCCTAGGTTTCCAGTGTGTATTCAATCATTGTAGAAGTACACTGTAATTATTCTCTTATTCCATCAACCTTGCTACGAACACTTAAAACCGCACACCATCCTTTCTGCAAATAACAAAATTTTCCTGTTACTTGGATAAGATCGGACTCATTTTAATCAACATCACTACTGCCAGTATGTAGAATAACGCCATATTTTGTGAACAGACAAAAAAGATGAAAATTATTGAGATAAAGTCCACACCGTCCCCGCCGTATTTACTGAGTGAAATAAGAGCATCTGACCGCCAGATTCAGGTGCAACTACTCATTATCTAGGCTAGAAATGTCTTCTTCCAATCTCTTGACGTAGCTATGACCTGATACCGAAAACGTCACTACCATATTGTATTGAGATTGAAATGAAGGGTAAAAAAAGAAATTATTATTATTTTTTAAAATTAATTTCCCCAATCAAGTTTTCTCTATTGCAGCTATAAATGGTCATGTGATACAATGTTACAACGACGAAGGCAGTAGCAGTAAACTGGTCCAAATATAAACGAACCGAGTAAAATGAACTGGAGAAAAGGAAACTGAGAAGCACCTTTGTCAATCATTACATAATACCCACTCACACATAAAAGATAAAATAACCTATGTCATGAATAAAATACATATTTATTATTAAGACAATACAATGTGTTTTTTTTAATTGTAAGATAACTCAGAATTTTAATTCGTGCAATGCAAGTTAAGAAGTAGATAGCCATAAGCACCGAATTAAAAACAAATTATAACTAAACAACGAGAGGAAAAAAATAAATTTACATTTATGAACCATGCCCATGATATATACCCAACAAAATAAGGACCTGGCAAACCTTTTCTCTTCAACAACACCAACAGGGACAGCTTTCCACTAAGGTTAATGATAAACGTGATCAGTCATTTCTAGATAGTACTTAGAACGAAACAGTTTTATGGTTGCTACCACGATCTCATTGCGATAAAATAGTATTTCATTTCATGGGAGAACACTACATTGATGACGTGACTTGACCATTATTTACATGACGAAGGTTGACAATTAAGCATTTATTAGTTTTTGATACTTTCACTGGATGTTGAAATTTTCGTATTATGTCCGTCCACCTGATATTACTATGCTTTCTAGAGATTATGTACAATTATTAATTATATTAGGAAGAAGATCAAGGTCGTCAGAAGATATCGATATAGAGGAAACGTGGTCTTAAAGACAAAAAAGATTTTGGAATACTCATATTCAAGAGGAGGAATTTTGTTATCTTGATTATTGATATTTGAGAAATATTTTTAAAATTTACCAACATTCGCAGGAAGAAGTACGATTATCAGAAAGGTTATTTTTCTCAATATGATTTTTCTTAACCTGCCTTATCTTACTTTGATTCAGTTTAATTCATTGTGTGCCTTTGCATAATCTAAGTCTAAATTTGCATTTAAAGGTATTATTCACTTGTTTGTTTTGTGTGATTTGTTTGAGATAGCAGGTGGTTGACACTGCTGTTGGACTTTAAGTCCACGAGGTTTGCCGTAACATGCACGCCACGTTTTAATTCAATTGAATAGTGGCACGGTTCAGAATATTCGAATGTACTTCACGTTGTTATCTGATAAATGAATTTCACGTATTATTCACTTTTTAACGTCAAGTCG